TCTAAAATCTATGGATATTCATCGGTTTAAGTTAACCCGTGAATTATCTGTTCAATATTCAGTTCACATCTCTAACTCCCATAGCAAGATTAAGAACACGCATTAATGCATATTCATGCGCATGTCATTATAAAATGCACATTTTCCCTTGCCTAGCCAGTACATAGCAAGTGAAGTTAATTATATGGGCTGGGCTCCTTACATACAATAGTTTAATCTATCAACTCCTTATGATCGGCTATATATTTGAATTTTAACTTTTTTTAAAGTTAGATTAATGATATTATTCTTATTAATTCGAGTTATTATACAATTTCAATAAGAAATAATTAATTTATTGATGTAAAATAAATCAAAAGAGACAAACATTTGAAATCTTTTCAAATTTAACAAGCAGCTAAAATGGCACAAGTCTTTATCTGTAATATCATAAAATTGAGAATTATTTGTTGAATTATAAAGCTTCATTACATGAATAATCAACTTTTTTAATTTCGTGTAACAACATTCTTCCATAAGGCTATCAAGATAAATTGTAATGGGCTCGCAATGAATCACTAAATATTTAAGCGAAAGTGGAAGAAATTCTTTTGATAGTATCGAAGATTCAGAAATAATAGAATTGCTATATATAAATTTAACAGTTAAATGAGTTAAGTGCAATTTTTGAATTAAGTCTTTAAATATCTGATCATGAGGAAATGGACAATAAATCTTGAGAGTAAGATATGTAATATTTGGACAGTTTTCTATTATGGAAAGCATCGTTTCCTGTGTCAAAACTTCTAAAGTTAATTTTTTCAGGTTTGGCATTTTAATATTCATCAAAAATTTTCTAATATATAACTTTTTCAAAATTTTAAATTCGAAATTATTGTGTAATATCATATGTCCAGAGTGATTCAAGATCACAAGATTTTCCAAATTTTTGCAGCTGGTAAGTGAAATCAATACAGATTCTGAGATGTTAACATACTCGAGTTTGATGGTTAATGAATTAGCTTGAAATTGCAATGCTTTGATTATTTCATCTACTCAGCTATCTACACCCCTGAAGTTAAATTCTTTTAATCTTTCCTGTACATTTATAATCGATATAATAGAGTTTTTAATTTCAGGATTATTTTCAAATGCAGGAACTTTGACAATTAGATAATTTATTTTTTTACATGACTTTGAAATTTTTTCTAAAAGCTTTATAGTGTAGATTGATATTTGAGTGTATTCAATTGCAAGTTTTGTAATATTTAAATCTTGACTAATTTCAGGCTGAAATTCTAGAACATTCATAATATTATCGCTATTGAGTCTTAAAAATTCTAGATTCGTACTTTTAATGAATAATTAGAATAAAAGCAAAATTATTTACTTCTTAATTTGCATAACTTGTTTTTTTAACTTTTTATCAGGACAAAATATAGCAATCCAAGTATGTACAATTCTTCCCAAGTTCTTTATCGAAAATTTTTCTAGCATCATTGGATAATTAAATAAGAGTTTTTCACGTGGTATCAATTTCGGAATAGATTTTTGGTCATAAAATATCTTAAGTTGATTTTTTTCATGGTCTTCAAGAAAAGAAATGTAAACTGATGTAATCTTGTAGACGTTATCAAAGTTTAATGGATCAAATGGACAAGCCCACAATAATGTCACCACATTTTTACACCAGAAAAAATT